GGAAAAATACAGTACGTCTTTAAACAACTGAATACCATGTTACTTAAAATAGTATATCCAATTATATTAGTCTACCAATATTCTTCAGAAGGCTTACTCTGTGTCTTGGCTTACAGACTGCTGCTTGGTGGTAGTACTGAACAGGATTTTCATGATAGCACCTGTTGTGAGGAATAATTCCCCCATCCCCCAGCTTAAATGCTAATCTATCTTAGGCATTTTTTTAAAAAAATCTCCAGCCTTTAACTCTACCTAATAATTGATGTTAATGGGTTTTTTTAAAAAAAAATCTGCTTTGATTGGACTCATAATTATGTAAACTTCAGGGTTCTTCATAATGAAAAGCAGAATAGAAATACTTTAAATAAGTAAACATTTGTGGTAACTGACAATTAGGATTTATATTTATACTAAGTAAAAATTGAATCAGACTTAATTCATAAAGAACATGCTAGTTGCCACATGAAACAAATTTGATGTGTGTTAGGATGCAACTCCTCATGTCACTTCCTTTCTGAGATATTGCTGGTTATGTGGTGTTAGCAGTTTAAATCATAAGCTGGTTTGTTATGGTTAGATTATACTCACCTAAGAATTGATGCTATACACAGGGATTCAAAGAGCTGCATTTCAAGCTGTAACCAAATCATTCTTTACAAGTATGAGTTAGATCATATTACTCTCAGTGACACACACAGTCCTTACTTTTTGTGCAAGAAACTTCTCATTATTGTAATCTTCTTGTTAGTTCGTGAAATATTAGCTGCTGTGTTTTCACTTATTTAAGCCTGAAAACATTTCTTTCACAATTTAAAAAAAATGGTAAAGTTACACATTTCCAGAGGTAGCATTACTGTTAAAAATATTCTATGACATGGGAATGAGTGAGTTTTTTCCTCGTGTGCCAAAGAATTTTTATATATATATATATCCTTCTTTATTTCTCAATACTTAGAACTGTAGTTGTATAGAGCAGATTTTTTTTCTTAAAGAAGATTGGACTTGAGTATATGAACATATAATGGAAGAGTGAATCATTTTTTTTTATACAACTTTCCTGCTAAGGATGTACATGTCAGATTTTTAAATTCATAAAGCTCCAGTGATGAAGAGTAGTATAAAAGGTGATGATGAGTGATAATGACTAACCTAAAATTGCTCATTAAACTTGATTGACTGAACAACAACCTTAAACCCAGATCTACCTGAATTGTTCCAATGAAATCATATCTTTATTATGGTCACAGACCAGCATAGTTCTGTACTGGCACTGTTGCTTGCTGATATTGGTTTATATTCTAGAATGATTCTACATTTGGTTTTGGATTCCATCTCCAAATCCATTACACAGATGCTTCCTATCTTTACAATAAATAATAATAGTATGCAAAATGAAGGCATTTGTGGTCTCATTCATTAGTGTTGTATATTTGGGAAGGAAAGACACCTCTCAAAAGTTTAATGGCATACCTTAAATGGCATACCCAAAACTACTTTATCATTGTTCCAAATTATCTCTAATACATTGCTGTTCAAGCAAAATTCTTGTTATATTTTTTTCATAAAAGATGGGGAGGTTCATGCTTGGTTTTGAATGTTATTAATTATTTAATGAGACCTAAGGTATAGAAGTATAGTTAAATAAAAAGCCTTTGGTATGGTGCATTGATTTATTTATACTTAATCTTGTTTTCTTGTTAAAATGTGAATTGATTTTCAAGTTTGAATCATCATTATAGCATGGCCTTGATGAATCAAAATAGAATCCAAAGAGCAGTTAGAGGCCAAAAGGTTTCTGCATTTACATTTTTCTGCAATGTTTCCAGGTTTTGTCTCACAGTCATAGACAAAATCATTTAGATAGAAGCAGCTGACCCTATTAAATGGAAAATGAGCATAGAAATCACTGTGTGTTTTCAGTTACAGAGGATTAAAAAATCTCCTTTTACCTGTTTTTATTTTTAAATGTAAAACAGTTTTATTTTAATTTGAAGAGATTTGACATCTGCTGAGACATCTGGCATGGTAGCTGGGTTTTTACCTTCACTGAAAGAATTCCATCTGTGGCCAGGTAGTCTGCATATCAGGATACAAATCTCAGTTCTTTTTTATTTTCTCCTACCTTCCTCAAACCAATGGATTTCTATAAACAAGGGAACAAATCAAGAATATAGGAACGTAAATCATTTCACAAATGGAATATATCTCAGTGAAATATCTGGCCCAATGTTCCAATACAGCCATTACTCCAGTAATCCAAAATTCTACCACTACTTTCTCTCTATTATTTTCCAGTCTACCCTAGGTTTCCTACACTTTGTGAACAACCTTATCCCCTTTTTCAGTAATTGGTCATGATCTTATATTCTTATTAGTTACTGCCTTTTTATTTGGTAAAAATAAGCAAGATTGTTTCTGAATGTTAGAGCAATAAAGGCTGCTAATTGAAAAAAATAAAAGATTATTATGTAGAAGATGGTGAAGCTTCTCTTTGCCTCAGAATATTTGAGGATACCTTGAGAATATATACCTTGAGAATATATCTAAAGATAGAAGGCAGCAAGCCTCTTTTTTTTCCTAGTGTTTTCCTGCAGGTGCAGGATCCACTTTTTCCCCCCAGATCAACTGAATATTGATCCACTGGTTGCGACAGGTATTGATTGACTGGCTTGTTGCCCAAGCCTGACATCAGGGCTGAAGAGAGTGACTGGCCCAAAGTCACCCAGTCAGCTTTCATGCCTAAGGTGGGACTAGAACTCACCATCTCCTGGTTTCTAGCCTGGTGCCTTAACCACTAGACCAAACTGGCTCTCTTTATATTACTAACTTAAATTTAGCATGATTTATAGAATCCTTTGTACTGCTTCTTCAGAGCAGGAGTTGGACTTGATGGCTTAAATGGCCCCTTCCAACTCTATAGTAATATAATTCTGCATATTTTTTTGCAATGATGGAACTGTGTATTTTGGGATCCCAGCAGTGAGTGATTATACCAGCTGCACGTGGACCTGGAGCTGACTCTGATTTTTCCCTGAAATTGGCAGCTCTTCCAAATTGTGTTCAAAAGAGTAAAATGTAGCAATGGGCTTCCCCTTGGCTGTTTGTTTGTTATGTGTCAGTGTGCGTGTGTGTGTGAGAAAAGAAAGTGGTATATATAGAAAGGCAGAATGTTGTGTATGTTTGTGTGCAGAGGAGCTGTGTGTATGATAGGGGAAATGTGTGCATGTTAATAGTGTGAGGAAGAGAAAGTGTACAGTTAGTCCTCACTTAGTGACCATGATTGGGACCAGCAACTCAGTTGTTAAGCAAAGCAGTTTCTAAGTGAAACACCACAATTTTACAATCTTACTTCAGCTTTCCTTTGCTTTACAGATCTTCGAATGTTGTAAATGCGAGGATTGGTCGCAAAGTTTTTTTTTCATAACTGTCATAACTGCAGATTGTTATTAAACGAGGCAGTTGCTAAACAAGGACTACCTGTAGGTGTATTTGGAAGGGGAGAGATGAGGGCTGAGGGAAGAAATCTTGCAATAGCACTTGGTTTAGGTTTTGTAGCTGAAAGACTGCCAATCCTTACCTTAAGAAATGTAAATCAGCAGCAGTTCCTGGCAAGCTGGATAGGTTTTTTTATGCTGCTTTTGTATCCACCACTGTCAAGACAAGGTAAGAAATGCCCATCCAGTATATACATTTGTTTATGGCTTTGCTGAAGTTGCTTCCTGTGCAGCTCATTCCGCCTGTCCCTAATCTTTGAGCCAAGGAATTTCTCTTTTTCTCAAGTTAAGAGCTATGTCTGAAATCCAAGCTCAGTCTCAAGACTCCAACCAAAGTATGTGGATTGTGTTAAAAGCCATATAATAGGCAGTGGAGACCATATCCAAATAGTACTTTATAATAGTTGTGCCCATTTTCTCAGTGGGTTAGCTTATCATGCCGCTAGAAGAGATAAAATTTTCATTTTCATTCTTGGAAATGCAAATAATTGGATTTGTGGATGTAATGAGAAGAGTATACTGATACATATATTTTTTAATGGAAACATAAGATTTATATCTCTTCACATAGAAACTGAAACTGTTTAGAAGCATCCACGATGCAGAGATCTTATTCCCTCAAAATAAATGGAAGGAAGGAAGAGACGGAGGAAGGAACCAAGATTCTGCTTCGTATGTGAAAGAGCAGCCAGGACATGGATTACTGCAATTTTTTAAATAAAACCAGTTGCTTCTTTGAGCATGAAACTGAGCAAACTCAGGGAGGCAGTGAAGGACAGGAAGGCCTGGCGCAATATGGTTCATGGGGTCACGAAGAGTCAGACACGACTTAACGACTAAACAACAAAAGTTGCTTCTTACAGCAATTCTTGTTCTAGAGGTGCTTAAGCAGTAGGGACTATTTTGTTCTAGAGTTGACCCCTGTCAATTTGTTTGTTGCATAAGTTGTATTGTCACTCATGACTGTAGAGTGATAGTGGAGGAGAAGGAGGAAGCCTTATTGGATGATCATTTAATGATCATTTACAAAAATTCACAATACACAATCTATAGAAGGAGCGTTAGGAAATCAAATACAATCTTGAACCAACATAATGTCATGGCAGTTAACACAGTGGAGAAAGCCTGTAATAAAAGTCTCAGTGGGGAGTTAATGTTATTTATTTGCATGAACAACTATTCCTACTATTGATATGCCTTCTAAAAAAAAGCATTCATTAAACATGTTACTTAGCTGCAGGTGTTAAATTTTATTCTGAGTTTCATTATGAACTAAAGCACCATATATTATTTTACTAGCTGTAAATTAAATAGGAACATCTTGAAGATGTAATTGTTTACAAATGATTATTTTATTTGCTGCTTTAAGAGGAGATGTTAATGGAGCAGAGAAGGCTGTGATTAGTGTTTAACAGAACTGTCACTTACTATAATTACATGTTTTTTAATGAGTAAAATTGCGACCATGTTCTGCTAACAAAAATCTTTCCTTTAACTCCTTTTCAGAATTCTGAGTAATAACAAGATCTTATGGTTAAAGAACAACTCTTTCATTGGACTCAGATCCCTGGAGAGACTGTAAGTAGCTCTTCAGTTTTCTGCGTACTTTTTTTCTGGTAGTGATTTGAATAGTTCAAATAAATATGCAGTATATATTATAAGCTCTGTAATGAGCATTGGAATAGGGTTTCCCTGGTCAGCCTTTTAGATAATTAATAAGCATAAAGAAAATTAGACTGCACAAAAGTAGTAGTGTCAATTTGGATCCAAAATAAATGAAAAGGAAATGGGGAATGTGTATCTGCAGGTCCTTTCAAAAGGAAGAATGGAAAATGAAAGATAATTTATTTTAGGTTAAACTGCATGGCCTAATTAAATCCTTAGCTCTAAGTATGTGCGGTTGTATTAGTCTTCACTGTAAATGGATTGCGCTACATTTATCTTCCCTATATCTGCTCAACCTCTCCTGACTTCCCTGTGAAAGTTCTTGAGTACAATTTGAGCAGTGGCCCACATGTAAACCCACTGACAAGTAGTGGGTTCAGTACTTAAATAGTTTAACCTTAATTTGATGAAAAACATACACTAGTAAGGTGCAATAGATGTTACTGCGTATCTTCATAAACCTTAATTCCGTAGATGTTCATTTTCTAGTACTACATTTTGAAAATCTCTTATTTGGATAGTCCATTCTTCACTCTGAATTGTTCAGTCAAAACGATTCAATAATGATGGCATTGAAAGCTGCCGAGGCATCGGTAGAATTAGCAGAATAATAGTTGTGCTGCTTCTCCTGGCATATGAACTAGAAAATAAACAAATTGGAATGAATTCAAAAAAGTATTTGGGCAGCTGATATTAGTCTTTGGAGTATAGCAAAGCATCACCCTCTAGGCTGCTTGTAAACACAGAAGAGAGGAAGCCAATAGCTCCCTATGGCCGTCAGGACTTTAGCCCTACTGTTATCAGTAGAATTAATCCCTTTCTTCTCTGTCAGTTTGAAATATTATAGGAAAATGGCAGCAGCGTGACAATGCTCATGAGGGAAAAAACAAATCTGGTGTCACTTCTCCTTAATGACTCATGTCATATTTCATCAGTGCAAATTAAATTATTTCCAATTAAATGTTGGAAATAATTTTACTATTACTTTATAGGTGAAGTCAAGTAAGATTAATTGAACCTTTGTACTAGATATTATTAATGTCACTGTTTGACATTATGTTAAAAGACTAATGTCAGTAAGGATAATGAGTGCAACACCTGAGGTTCTGTGGACTTTTGGCAAGAAGTGAACTGTTGTTTTGTGAACAAAAGAGGCAAGCCAAGATTTCTCTAATCCAATACAATAATACTGGATTATTCTAGCATATGATGCAGTTCTTTACTTGCACCGTTATTACTTTGCCGATAATCAGAAGTACTAGCCTCATACTTGAAAAGAGAGATAAATAATCCATGGCTAGCAAAATGGCAGCACCTATTCATTGTCTCACATGCATTACTCAGAAATAATTTCACCAGCGAATAGCAGCCATGAAGACCAATACTTGATGATGAATAATCCTGCTTTGTTATCTTTGGTCTTTTTTGTGGCAGATGGCCAATAAAACAGAAATCGTTTTTCCCTTGTTAGCTGTTTCTGTTATATCATCTTGTGAGCATTCTGACTTTTTCTGCTCTCAGACCTGCCTTCCCAGCTTGCCTTTCAATCTATCACTTGTTACTTTGAGACGGATATTCTCTGCTTGGAAGTAATCAGCCTCATCTGCTGCACATCTGCTTCTGCCAATCCTGTCCCTCTGATTTTCCTGCCAGCTTCCTCACAGAGGACTCACACTTGTCAGAGACATTTTCTCTCCTTACTAGTTTGCAGCTAAAATTATATTTCCAAATACTAGCATGTTTGGTGTAGTGCTTAAGGCACCAGGCTACAAACTGGGAGACTGAGTTCTAGCCTTGCCTTAGGCATAAAGGGAACTGGGTGACCTTGGGCCAGTCCCTCCCTCTCAGCCCAAGGAAGGAGGCAATGACAAACCACTTGTGAAAAACCTTGCTAAGAAAATTGCAGGGACTTGTCCAGGCAGTCGCCAGGAGTCAACAGTGACTTGAAGGCACACTCACACACAGCATACACACACATGCCGGCATGACATTTATTATAATATGCAATATAATAAGTGGATCCCAATGATGATCTTTTTATTCAGTGTTGGCTTCTTTTTTAAAAAACCTCTTTATTTGAGTTTCACAGATGAAAATCTGTGAACATACTGAATGGGCCCATTGTGTGAGCGTTGTGTGTGTTTCACAAGAAGACGGGATGACAGCACTTGGGATGGCAGACTGATTTTCTGTGTTTATTATAAATGTATACAATTTATTTTCCTTTTAATCTTTAACATACTATCAGCAGCAGTTCCATTGTTGCTGTTATTATATTATCAACATTAAAATTATGTTCAGTATTAGAACAGAGAAAACAAGTGTTACATTATTCATAAAATCATAGAATGTAAGTGTTGGAATATAATCTTGTTCAGCCCCTTATGTGGTGTAGGAATCTACTACTACAGCATCCTCATCAGATGGCTATCCCGCCTCTGTAAATACTTCCAGTGAAGGAGTCCATCACTTGCTACTTTCTTGTAATTTAAACCCATAGTTTCTTGTCCCATATTCTGGAACACCTTCTGTTCCATCTTCTACATGACTCATGTTCTCCCCAATCTGTTCTTCTCCATGTTAAACATATCCATTGCCTCCAACTGCTCTTCATAAATTATTCTTACAGGCTCCTTATTCTCTTGGTTTCTTTCTCCTGAATACTTGCCAATTTATTAATGTCCTTCCTAAGATGTGGTGCCCAGAAGTAGCCACAATATTTTAGGTGTGTTCTGGCCAATGCAGAATATATAGGAAAAATGACTTATTGTAGAGGGAAACAGTAGAGAGTAGAGGTAACCTTGGAAAAGCTATGCAATGGCTGTTAGCAAAACATGATTTAAGTCTTAGACAGGAAGAAAATATTAGAAAGAAACTCAAACCAGCTCTGCCTTAACTCTGGAATATAAAAGGGAGGAAGGGAAAATGCTGTCAGGCTTCCAAGATTCTATTTCATAGCCTATATCAATAAAGTAGAGTTCCAGTTTACTGATGGAGTCTGTTTCTTGTTCTGTCCAACCTCAAAGAAATAAAGTTGGCAAAGATATGAAAGAACCCTTAGGAGATAAAATAAATAGTGAAGATATCTCAGCCCTGGGAAAAGAGGGAGCATAAGAGGGATACAAAATTTGTTTCTGTATGGCATAAGAGGGGGCAAAGGAAGACTCTGGCAGGCACCCACATTTTTCACGTAAGATGATATAAGATGGATAATTCTTTTAGAACTATACATGATTGTAGATTCCTGAACAGTGTAACTATCTATCAGCCTTACCTGGTAGACCAGACAGGAAACACAACCAGATGAGCTATTTCTACTTTATAATAAAGCTACATTAACAAAATCTTGCAAGTCTGAAAGTACAATTCTCCCGCTGTCTCCTTTACAGCCCGAGAAACTAGGGAGGGTCTCTTCTGAGCCTCTTGCTCCATCCATTATGCAGCTACAGGCTATGCTGTCTCTTATCTCACTGTTCCCTAGAGAGCATCTATTCACCATGTCTCCCAAGGTCTTTCCCACATACCATTACACTACTAGAGATCACTGCCCACTGCCTCTTATTTCAGACTTGCTGGAGCACTTTCAAAAGGGATTCATTTTCATGAAATTGGATTTCAGAAGCATATATGATTCAGTTAGAATGAAAGAGGGCCGTGAATACTTATGGTAAACTTGAGCCCACAATGATGCAATTCAGATTGGTGACCAGGCTCAAATTATCCTACTTTAGACACATTATGCGAAGACCCAGCATTCTGGAAAAGGCTCTAATGCTGGGAAAGGTGGAAGGAAAGAGAAGAGAGGATGACCAGAAGCAAGGTGGATAGACTCAGTTACAGTGGCAATGAGTGCACCGTTGAGAGACTTGAACGAACAGGTTAGGGACAGATCATCATGGAGAAAATCTATCCATCTATGTGGTTGCTAGGAGTCCAAAACAACTTGATGGCACATAATCAGTTTGGTGTGGTCTTCTTCAGATATACAAAAGAAATATTTTTGATATTTTGGACAAATATATGGTGGTATAATTGGAAGACATACTGAAATTCTTCAGAAGATCCATCCTTATATGAGACTCACATCAGAAGTGCCTTAGAACACAAACTGTTTGCTAAGTTGGAGAAATGTGCATTTGATCTTCCTCATTTGCACTATTTGGATTACCAGTTCTTATAAAAGTACAATCTGTACTCTCATGGCAGGCACCTAGAAATGTGAAGAATGTACAACATTTTCTGAGATTTGCAAATCTTTATTGAAAGTTCATCTCAAATTTTGCAGAGCACACAAGACTACTTTCTCAACTTTAAAAGAAAGGATGTATGTTCAAATGATCTACTCAAGAGCAAGCAGTGTTTCAGGACTTGGAAACCCTTTATTTTTTCCAACCACTGTTCAGATATCCTGATCCCTCTTTTCCCTTTTTGTGCAAACAGACGTATCAGGTGCAATATTAGGAATTGTTCTCCTTCTTGAAGGAGGAAGAGATCTTCTACCATGTGCTTTTTATTCTAGGTTACTTCTTCCAAGTGAAAGAAATTGACATTTTCAATAAGGATAATCTTCCAGTAAAAGCTTCATTCCAGCAATGGAGGCATTTCTTGGAGGGACATATCCACCTAGTGCAAGTATACATAGGTCACAAGAATTTGGAACACTCACAGGAAACATAGTGCCTTGTGCCTTGTGCCTTGTCATGCACAATTGTACTGCCCTTTCAATTTTTATCACTTATGTTCCTGGCTCACAGAACAAAGTATCAGATACATTATCATGTAATACTGAGTATAGTCTTCCATGCTTCTCCTTTCCTACCACAATCCCAAAGCTAAAGAACTTTGCCCCTCCCCCAGAAAGGTTGGGGTCAGGGTGACAGACAATAGATCTGTTAGAGCTGATTAGAGTGCAG